ACATGTGAAGAAAGCCTGTTTCTAATTTAAGTAAAAAAATCTTTAAAAAGTTGAAGCCATATGGTGGCCATGCTCTCCTCTTTATACCACGGAATTTGTCAACTTCCAGCAAGGAACAGTTGTCTACTCCTTCTGTCCTCCAATTACACTAGCCGAAAAATGCCCAGCTTATCAAAAGTGGCTCATTTCCCATGCTCTTCATACCATCCTTTGCCACCTTTTCCAAGTCTTTACTCTTTACACTTCCACTGTCAGGGCAAATATTCTACAAATAGGTTCTCATTACCTTTCATCTCAAAGCACAATCTGAAATCTCAAAACCAAGCCAAACCAAACCAAAATAACAAACCAAACTCACAATAAATAAAACTTGCCTGACTCTAGTCTCATCCAGATTCTATTTTTTAACTGCCTTTTCTCTTAAGCCATCTCTCCATCTCTGTCTGAGTGTGTATGCTGTGTGTGTTCATGCATGTATATGTGTGTGTGCATGTGTGTATGTGTATACACATATTCATGTTTGTATGTGTACGTGCTTGTACATGCTTGTGTGCATGCACGCATGTGTATATGTGTGTGTGTGCGTATATGCATGTGGGTGTGTGAGTACATGTGTGCACGCACGTGTGTATATGTGCATGTGTGTATATGTTCGTATGTGTATGTGAGCATGTTTGTGCATACATATGTGTATGCATGCGTACATGTGTGTGCATGCACCCATACACATTTGCTCTTTTGTCTGTTTGCACCTGACTTCTGCTTCCACCACTTTACCTGGATATGTGATTGATCACGAGGTTAAGTCTAGCCTTGAGTTTGTCTACAGAGGATGGATCTGGAGCATAGACCACAGGGAAGGTTGGCGTATGGTAAAGGAGTTCATGCTTTCTTGCCTTTGGGATGGAAGAAGGAAACACTTTTCTAGGGCAAAGGAGCCATGGAGGAGATTTCGGCAGCCAGTATTCATAGTTGGAAATGAGCTCATTGGCTGAGTAAAGAAATCTGTGCAGGGTACTCAGACAGGTCCACCACAGCTGTCTTCTTATATGACCTCACCTTACAACAAGTAATATGCCACAAACAGCCTTCATTAATCTTTTCTAAAATTTTATGATATAAATAAAACAATTTCACGTTCCAAGTTAAAATCCTTCAGTATCTTATTATATTCTGTATGACAAATCAACATCTTAACTATATCTTTTCAATCCCTCTAGGATCTGACTCCTCTCAGATATTTCCTGATAATTTTCCCTGCATTGTTTACTATCTTTATGTCCAACCAAATCAATGTTCATTTCAAACCCTTCAAATATGATTTTCCTTCTAGTTGGACTGACTTCCTTTCCACAGTATCCACTTAATTAATATGTGCCACTTCATTTTATCTGCCTCTAACCACTCAGATAAATTTGTTCTCACTACTATTTTCTACCACAACACTCCAGTTTTCCTTGTAGTGTTTATAATAAAATGTAATATGGAGTGTGATTGATTACTAAACTCTAATACACTGAGATTCCCATGTAATTCTATTTTCTATTATTGTAGCAAAATATCAGCGGTAGTTTATAAAGAAATCATTTCCCTAACGGTTCATGATGTTCAAGAGCGTGACATCAATATGGATTTTGTTGAGAGGCCCATGTTAGACATGAAGTGGGCATACAAAAGCAAGGATCATACAGGGAGTCAAAAATCAGGGATGTGGGGAGGGTCTAGCAACAGCCTTCTACTAAGCTAACCTCTCATAGGTTAAGCTAAAATTGCACACTGCAGACCAAGTTACTAAACTACAAAACGTGAAGCAATGCCTTTAAATCATACAATGTTATGCTTCTGGCCTCCAACACTTTTGATCTTATAGAGCCAAATTCAATTATTCTATCTCCACTATCCATAGTCATCAAAGTTTTAGCTATCTGCATATCATTCAAAGGTACAAGTTTAATGTCTCATCTGAGGCTAAAGGAAAACTATTTTAGCCACAACCTTTGAAAAATGCAAAACAAAGTTATATACTTACAAGAGGAAATGATGTGATGGGAATGGAAATGTCTATTCCAATAGGGGCATGTGGGCAAAAAATAAAAGGGAGGGGATAAACTTGCTTCAGAAGTGAGACTGAAATTCAGCAGAGCAGACAATAAACTCTTAAGTCTGCAGTTGAGAACACTACGATGGAGGGTGGGTTTCCAGGGCTTTGAGAAGCCCCGCCCCTATGGCTTTGCTGGAGCCTGTTGTAGGTTGGTGATGGTTCTCTCATTCTAGCATCCCCCAGCCATGACTTCACTATGCAAGACCCCCTTGGGGACTCTCTGCAGGAGCTTTGGCCCCATGGTAAGCTTCCACCTGCCCATCTAGACTTTCCTTTGAAGTTAAAATGCAAGCTGGCATGCCCTCACGATTCTTTAACCTGAAGAAGCAGGTCTATATGGGCACCACCAAGGTTTGTCACTCAACCAGTGCCTGTTGCAACTATCGGTAAGTGGATCATCTTGTTGAAAACCCATGAGGTGTATCTTGAGGTAGCTCTGGTTTGTGAACCTATGGAGGGTGCTTGAAGGCCTTTCCCAGAAACAATTGTGCCCTGGACCTAGGCAGGACTGGAGTGGAACCTTGAGTTTGGAAATGCACTTGAAGCCTTTCCCAGTTGTGCTGAAGGGAAGCTAAGGATCCCCACTTTTTTCTGGGATAATTTCTTTAGCACACAGGATGCTGAGCTGACCATGATTTCATTCTCCAGAATATGCAATTTTCTCCTTCTCTACTCAGGCTGTGAAATTTTCAGATGTTTCTCCTCGGTTTTCTCTTCCTTCTAAAACTCATCACTAGTCTAGCTAAACACAGTCAATAATACCCATGCCGATCCCAAGTGCTTTGCGGCTAATTCTGTTGGAAAAAGTACTCTATTGCTTTTAAGTTTGGCCTTCTACAGAGTGGTTGGGCATAGATACAATGCAGTCAAATTATTTTTCAGTGGGGCTAATAGGGCTAACATCTTCCTCACTTTTCAACAGGATCCTCCTTTCAGTGAGAGGAGATATGTTACAGGTCTCCATCTTCCAAGTCATCCTCCCAGAATTCCTTTTCTCCTCCCCTCTTCTGGACTCTTTCAACTATCACCCATCACATTGCTCTACAGCCAATTCCAGATTTTTCAGGTACAGTGACAGTGATGACCTTATTGCTCAGTACCCATTTTATATAACTCGGTTTTCTGTTACTGTAATGAAATACCCAAGAATGAATACTTTATTACAAAAGAGGTTTATTTGGCTCATTGTTTTAGAGACTGATGGGCATGGTACTGGCATTGGCTCTCGTGGTATTCTCACAACGCTTTGTATTATGGGGGATTCAGAGTGGGACTGCATGATAAGAAAGGAAACCAGAGCTGAGGTGGGGCCAGCAATTACCTCTCTTCAGTGTCAAATGCTAAAGGCCTCATTGCTTCCCAACATTACCCTACCAGGGACAAGCTTACAACATGTGAACCTTTGGGGGATATACTTGAACCATGTCTGATCTCAGCATCCTGATTCACTTCCATGAGGTGGGAGGTGGGAGAGCATGCCAATGCATTTCACCTGTGTACAATGGAATATCTGGTTATAAAAAAGGCCACTCAAATTTCTGGCTGAATAAATGAATGGATGGAAGATGAGAATGAATGAGTTAAATAAAAATATTTATCCTCACTGATTATTCCTTAGCAAGTCTATGAAGGAGTTCAACATAGATTGTACCAGGAGAGGTTTCATCAAATTGATTTTTCTAATGGGGACCAGCTCAATGGCAAGCCACTGATCTAGCATGTGGGAGATGCTAGATTCAATCCTTAGCAACTCAAAAAATTGGCGTTTCTTTGGTGTTTTCTCCTGAAATCACAGAATGTGATAGACATTATCTTGGCAGTTTACGTATCTCTGCCATTTTTATGTCATTGATTTGTTTGGATTCTAGAAATGTTAGGCTCTATGCTGATGAATTGGTTTGGCTAAGAGTAGAATGGAGTTATGAGAGAGCCAAGGTCAGAGCTAACCTCTACTTTTTGACTAGCATAATATGCTTGCTTACTTACTATTTGTCAAAGAGAGAATCTTGGGATTAACTTTATAGTTAATATAGATGTGGCATCTCCCTTCTGAAATGTATGACTGTAGCCATTCCTCTGCTACACCCCTTATCTGGTGAGATCACCTTTTGCCACTGATTCTTTCTCCATGACCACTGATCTTTCTTGGTTTTCTTACAACAAGGTGCTACATACAAAGGTTAAATAATTTAACCACTGTAAGGAAATGAATTCATAGGAAAGTTTAGGTTTAGGATGTATGGTTGAGTTGTATAAGTACATGGTTATGCTTTGATCTCCCATTTTAAACATTTAATATTATAAACTTCTAACTCTACTGATCTCTAAGATTTAAAGATATCAAAGGGAGATTAATGGAAACCAGGATGCTTCACTTTCCGTAAGAGAAACACTTGCGAGTATTTTCCTTAATTAAATATCATTTATATATGCAAATGTTACTTAAAAATTTTAGGGCTATTAGTTATTTTAAACCCTATTTAATTAGAAATTTTATATTAGTATGAGAATGTACAAACTCCTTAAGGTGAAATTTTTTATCAGGTTTGAGATAAAGTTGCAAGTTGGAGCACATTTCTGCTGGTTGAATCATTCTGAAGCATAGTTAATGTGCAAACCAATAGCTTTCAGTTCATAGTAACATTCTGGAAGACATTTGTGAGCATTTTTCCTAAGGAAACATGCTAATTTTGGATTTTTTATTGGATAAGTGTTAAGCACATTCCCTCCTATAGTAATTGTAAGTCAGGTGGTCCGACGAGGCCCTGATTCTATTGGCACCTGCAGTATGGCTTGTCTCTTGGACTTTGAAGTCATTTCTTTTCTACAGATGAGATAAGGAAAGGTGTCTCATTTTAGGTCTGGAAGAAACACGGAGCCCAGTATCAAGGTAGTGGAGTAGTTATTTTTCCAGACATAGCCTAGAGTTCCAAGCCTGAAGAGAAAGATTGATCTGCTTTTAAAAGGGACTGTGCTAACTTAGGCCTGGACATGGCATTCTTGTTTCCAGCCATATTGAGTCTAAGCTTTAACAGTCAAAAATTTGCTTGCTTTGATTTTGATGTGGCCCATCTTTTCTTAGCTGCTCACATTCAAGATTTGGAAAAGAAGGACCAGTGGTGAGCAGAGTACTTCATTAGAATCTGATGAGGAGTTCTTGAGAACATTGATTATTACTGAGCTTGCAAATCTTGTAACTTTAATATAACCTTGGTATGAACCTTTACATTTCTCTATGTCTTTTTGTAATTATATTGTGGTATATTTGTTGGGTGGGATAAGCACTGAAGATTTATTATTTCATGTGAATTTGGGGCTTATTTAAAGATTTGCTAGTTTTTAAAAAATATTTTGACTCACATGTTTCTAGCATTGGATATTAATCTAAATTCATGCTGAAAAATATTTTATCCTGGACTTATATATCATATATTTTATAAAACATCTGTTTTTAATGTTCATATGAGATTTTATTTTAGACATTGTCTTTTAGCCCTGCATATGCTAAAAGTTTAACTAATTTGCTCAATATTGATAATCAGACCTTTGAGCCATAATTGTCCACTTATAAAATCTGATTCTTTTATTTTATGAGAGGTTGTGGGATCTGAGGGGCTTCTTAGATTGTGGGTCAACTCCTTTGGGATATGTGAGATGATGTGGGTGGCTTTTGATTTTGTGAAGTGTACAGGTATGTGCTCGCACTACATTACCGCAGGGCCACTGGGCAGGATTATTGATTTGGTCTGTTGTCCTTGGGTCTTGGAGGTCTTGAGCTTCTTAGGTTTCAGCTCCCTTTGTCCTTCTTTATTGTTCAGTTGATAGCAGAGAAGATGTGTCTGTTTCTAAGGATAAACTGTAAAGACTCTTTGAGTGTGAGCTTTTGCAGGGCAAGCCTATCCTCCATTCTCATTTTTATTCTCAGAATTTTCAGCACCACCCTTGGCCTGTAAAAGACTTTTAATCAACATTAAAGGGGTGCCAAAGGGATAAAGGATTATTCCTCGTAGCCCATAAGAATTAATTAATATTTGCTACTATTTTCTATTTGCTGATGCTAAACAGAGGCAAAGCAAAGATTACTTTAAGATAACAGAAAAGAACATGGAAGAAAATGAGGCTAAGGCCTTGGAAAACTGAACATACTGCACTTCTTAGTCTTGTCCTGTAGTTAAAAAGTAGCATGGAGATTCTTATTAATTTTATTCAGGATAGTAGTGTCAGCATAGGAGATAATGTTATAATGTGGTGACTGATATAAACATGTTAATGAGGACTATGTCTCAGAAAAACAGCAGGATTTTGTAGGCATTTGAAGGTTTGATAGAATTCAGGCAAACAGAGAAAGTTCACCATCATTTAGCTTCAGATTTCCTCATAGGGCAAAGCATTGCATTAGTTTATGTTGGCTAGGGGAGTAGCAGTCTGCTTTATTTGTTTTTCCTCTGTCAATTCCATTTTGTACAGAGAAAACTTCAGTAAACATGAGTTGGATGGTTTTTGACACAGTGAGTGTCAAGCCACCGTGAAGACTGAGTTATGCATTTCATATGCATTATTTTGTAATCATGCACTTTTCCTTGGGCTTTCTTCTTCCTTCCTCTTGGTCTGCTATGCCCTAAGTATTTTCTCTGGTGGCATGAAGAGAAAAATGTCGTCCAGGCTCTTGAGTACTAGGACAGATTGGAGTCCAGCCAGTTGCCCTAGTGAGGCAGGTGAAAGAATTCACAGAACTTGACCCTCCCCTGCCCTAGTCTCTGCCAGCAACCTGACAGAGCCCTCAAGAGCCATTTTGACTTGTCACCAACTCTCCCCAGACCTAGAATAAGAGCCCAAATTCTACTTACAAACTTGAAGGGCTGAAAAGTAACCACTCAAACAAAGTAATGATGCTAAATGAATGTATTTGCCACTTTTATTATATTAAAAAACATTTAGTTCAATGTAAACATTATTTACGAAAGGGTTTCCTCTTTAAAACGTGGACTTTCATAGTACTTATTCTGGCCTCATAGTCAACTAGCTGCAAATGCAATTTGTACATGTAGACAATTTAGAACTTGATTTTGAGATATTAAAAGTGTTTATTTCCATATATGTATTCTTGTTTCTCAGATCACTACGACATTTTAATTTTCTATTATTAAGACAAGTTGTGCTGTAAGTAACTACCTTGTGTATTAAAAAGAAAACAGAAATGGGAGTGTTTTTACAACTTAAAGAACAACACATCTTTTGTGTTATGTTCAAAGAACAGCTGAAATGTTTTGATTCACATGTGAATCAAAAAAATTACAGTCCTGAAAAGTGCATGGGCAAAGTCATCGAGCTTTCACGATGATTCAAGTTTTCTAGAATATCCCCTAAAGGGCAAAAGAAGAACACAATGCTATGTCAGCAAAAGAGTTTATTTAAAGTATGTTTGCCTTTTATTTAAAGACTTGCCTATGAGTCTACAGGGTGCATAGTTGCATGTGTTTGAGATCCGGAGATGAGTTGGATCCATTTCTGGGCAAATCCTCAGTTTCTTGGAGAGTAACAACACTTCATACCTGTACCTTTGCATTCTTATGTTATAAGACTGTTTTGCAAATGTCCTTCATTATCTTTAACTTAAGTGTATATGGATTGTAATAAGTGTATCAGTTACAAATGAATTGGTTAGACAATACTAGAAAACCAGACATGGCAAATGACTTTTGAGTCAGAACAATTAATTTTTGAAGTGCATTCACCATTGTTAGTATAATTCTTATTCACATTTGAAAAGACTTTCCCCTGCCAACCACAGTAATGTACCGTCTAGACTAACCCAGAACTAGTTAGACTTGGTTCATGCCATTTCTCCTACTCTTTAGAACTTGTCTAATTATTGGACTTCTAGAACTAATGTTCAACCTCAGTATCTCATTACAGTTAATTAAATGTAGTTTTCTTTTCTTTTTTTGTGACAGGGTCTACTGCAGCACAGCTGGCCATAGACTTCTTATGTAGCAGACACTGGCCTTGAATTCCTGGCCTTTCCGTCTCCCAAGTGTTAGGATTTTACAGACACATCTCCAAATGCCCAGTTAGTTAGTTAACTTTTAAACACAATGTTTTAAAATATTGTCATAGTTTTTAACTTGTAAAACATGATTCCTTTGCTTTTGCAGTTCCCACAGTTTCTAAGAACACCCTTTATTTCCTAATGCAGGATCAATTGAAAGAAATACATATTTTCTTCTTCCCGAGCTGCGAATGATCTTAATGAAGGAGAGCACAGGCTATGGATGAATGATACCAACTAAGCAACACCACAGTAAAACACTTAATTCTCCAACACTTAAAGCCATACCAGGAATTGCTAGTCAAGAAGGACATTGACTAATTGTTAACAGTTAATAGAATTCAAAGATCAGCATGTTGGTTTCTCTTTCTTTCGTCTTTTGTTGCCGTTCATCTCTATCTATATTTTTTCCTTTCAGAGCATCAATTTTCTAAAAATAAATTAGTCTCTATAAACAACAGTAGCATCACCAACACCACGTCCACCTCTACCACTTCCACCACCGCCAACATCACCACAATAACAGTACTCAATGCTTTATAATAATACCATTCACAACCTACAAGACTGGAGGGAGAAATAATTGTGCGTTGCTTTCCTGACGATCTGCAATAACATTTTAGGATAATGGAACTTAAAGTTTGTGAAAGCATTCCTCCAATGTCCGAGAAGGTGAAACACATCTTCTCAGATTTAATTCCCCTGAAAGCAGAAGGCCGTAGAAGGTGTCAGATTTAATATATCAAATGTCCTGTGGAAGGGAGTGGAGTCGAAATTTGCGTAGATGGCCTGTTTAAAAAGTCCTCAACGTCATTCTAAAGTAAATGGCTGTCTCTTGCTTCACTAGGTCGGTACCTTCAAGCCCATTACACAACATACTTCTAAACTGTGATCATCACACATGTTTAGTTTAAAAGGGTCCAGTAGTGTCCTGGCACATGACCCGAATTACCACCTCTCCTCTTGGTGAAGGTTGCTCTTTAGAGTCTTGCAAAATCATTTGTGTTTACTCTTGACAAGTTGAGAAAACAAGTGCATCAGAGCAGTTTGTTCTGTTCAGCACATTATAAGATCGGAGGTTTTTGGCAATAATAAGCATTGTGCAAAGAAGGTTGCTGATGAATTCATTATTTTACATTTTTGTAGAAATATTTTACTCATTAGAATGGATACATATCCAAAGGCTTAGTCATTTTACTCTGTGAAATTTATATTGTAAGTATGTTTAGGTCAAGTTTTAAGAAAATGCTTTAACCAAGATTAGTTTGACTAAAATAGTTGTTAGCATCTTTGCTCTTGTTGTTCACTGTTAATACTACATAGGCATGAAATTATTTTTATTTACAGTAATTATTAACAAAATTGTTTTTATGGAACTCAGGTCTACACTGACTCTTATTTATTTACTTAAATTACAATCACAGTTCTCCTGCCCACCTCTCCTCCTGTCCCCTCTCATCTACCCCCAGCCTACCCCCATTCACTCCTCCCAAAGGGTAAGGGCTTCCATAGGGAGTCAACAAAACCTGGCCCATTAAGACTTCCCTCCCCACCCTCTCTTCCCCTGCTTTAAGGCTGATCATGCATACTCCCATAGGGAACGGGCTCCCACAAGCTAGCTCATATACCAGGGATAGATCCTTGTCCTACTGTCAGGGGCCCCTCAGACAGACCAAGCTACACAACTGTCTCCCACATACAGAGAGCCTACTTCTGTCCCACGGGGGCTCCATGGTTCTCAGTCTAGAGTTTGTGAGTTCCTATGAGTTAGGTTCAGCTGTCTCTGTAGATTTCCCCTTCATGATCTTGACCTCCCTTGTTCACTTATTCCTTCCTCCCTCTCTTCTACTGGATTCCCAGAACTTGGCCTGGTGCTTGGTTGTGGACCCCTGTATCTGGTTCCATCAATTACTGGATTGAAGCTCTATGATGATAGTTGGGGTATTCATCAGTCTAATTACAGGGGAAGGCCAGTTCAGGCACCCTCTCTACTATTGCTTGGAGTCTTGGCAGGGGTCATCCGTGTGGATTCCTGGGAATTTCCCTAGCACCAGGCTTCCTTAACCCCACAATGGCTCTCTCTTATCAAGATATCTCTTTCATTGCTTTCCCACTCTGTCTTTTCCCAAACTCAACAGCCAGTTCCCTAATGTTCTCATGTGCC